TCTTAGATAGTAACCACTTCAAGACCATTTTTGTTCTGCATTTGTACAGGACCTGATACAAGGATGCCATGGCCCATGCCTGGGGCTCTGAGACAATACAGTAATACAGATAATAACTAGAAGGTGTCTGCTTTATACATGGCTGTGCTGTTACTTGAGATAAACAAAGTACAATCATCTATGGTGCTTACCTACTGCAACACTAAGAACTTCTGCCTGATTGGGGAAATTACAAAATGACAGGTGTCTCTGTTTTATTAGTCATTTAGTATGCTTTTTAGCATGGAAGGCAGTAACATTGAACTTGACATCACAAGTCTGACATGTCTAATTATAACCTGAGAACACATTTGGGAAAGCAATGCAACATGTGTAAACAATAATATGTGACAGGACACATACTGGAAGTTAGAGAACTCTGGAACTCAAGTATGCTTTCAGAATGCCAAAATAGTGCTTAGCTCATAGCACTAATAAAATAGTTGAGGTTTTTTTTTTAATAGGCGTGATAGGAGATCCCTTTAACTTCTCTGCTTTTGCTCTTAAAAATTGTCTGACATGTTTAGAACACTGTAAAGGAAGATATGGTGGTTGAAGTAGATATCCACAAGCACTACATGCATGTTAGGGGACAACAGGCTTTGACACTCCAGGGCCAGTCTGGCCCCATTTTCCCTCTCTCCTTTTCTTGCTGTTTCTTCTTTGCAAAGGCATCCCTGCTTGTTGGTGTCTCTAGTCTCCAGCAATTCCCAAGAATCCTATACTGGTTGATAGTTCAAAGCAGATGCAACAGGAAAAAGGTTTCTAGTACTCATATAGTTTGTACACAGCTGAGCAGAACCAAGGACAACCTTAGGAGGCAGGATACAGCATGAAAAATCTTTACATTTAGCCAGTGAATGAGCAAGCATAGATACCTGGGCTAGTCTAACATCCCTTTTGACCTTATACCAACAGACAGCTATTTACTTAGTTTGTGAATAAGCAAATAGCTTGTTAGTTATTCTACTCTAACTAATGGAATATATGAATAACTACTACTACCTACACCTTGGACCTGGGAATGATTCTAAATTAGCTGTTGTTTCTTCTTTTTTTCCCTCTCTTTTCTCCACTTTATAAAAGTAATCAGAATACTTGGCACTTTTGAACCACAGATATCAAAATAATTCACAAGGGTGGGTAGGTATCATTATTTCCACTTCACAGGTGGGAAAGGTGAAAAACAGCTTCCACCTCAGAGTTTTAGAAGTGGCTTCATTCTAGACACCTATTAGGCTCGGATCCTCAAAATTATTTAGGAACTTTACTCCCATTGCAGGTTAGATACCTAAATATAGCTGAAAACCCAAGCCTTAGCATTTGACTTTTCAGTGGTGAAGAGCCTGCTACTCTGGCTGAGGTCACCTTTGAACAATAACTGTAAAATTAATGCACTGCTATCTCTGGAACTTTTTCACTAACAGAAACCAGAAAGGGCTATGTCTTTGGGATGGGATTGTGCAGAACACAAATGAAGCCATCTGTTTAAAATGCTTGCTCCCATGATGGTACCTACATCCAAAGGCCAGGAGCTGGGCCCATTTGCACAAGCTGAACACGTGCACAAGACTTCTTTTTTCAACCTCCTATTAATACTTAGCATTTATATACTGCTGTTCCCCTTACAGAAGTCTCACATTTCTCAGGCAGCCCAAACCTACCTCCTTCGTGGCTTTAAGTCAGATACAGTAGATTTCAAACCCCAGCATGAGATTTAACCTAAATTTTTCCCGCAAGTTTCGCTCTTACTCTGGTTTCCATAGATGCCAATCCCTCCCCTCCTTCTTCAGGAAGTCTCCAGTCCCATCTGCCTCCTGACTGGAGCTAACTGAAGCCACCTGTCAATCTCACTCAGCAAAACTTTTGGCTGCTTGTCTACACTGGGTAATGGCACTTTTGCGGATGGTGTCTTACCAGAGAAGCTGCATTTCAAGGAAGGATCCTATAAACTATCCTAGCCCGGGCAGGACTTGGGAATGCCCACTTCCTAGCCCTGAGCTCAAGCCAATTGCTCTCCTCCCTTCTGCACACAGATGCACCCCATGGAGACCTGTTTTTACCTGACAAGGTGCTGCCCTGGTTTCCCTGGGGGAAAGGGCTCCAGCAGTCAAGAGCCTGGCCCTCCTCCTGCAGCAGGGGCCAGCAGGACACCTGAATACAAGGGAGAGTCACCTTTCTTCCCAGTTCCATTTTACAGTTAACCCTTCCCACTCCTGCCCCTCCTTCCCCATGTACCCACACCAGCTTCTCTCCCCCCCCTGCTCTGTAGTGACTCCATAGCCCACCAGTTTTCTTTAAAGTGAACCAAATCAGAACCATGACTTGCTTAATGCAGCCAGCGTTCCCCTCCTTGCCATCCCCTGCCCCCCAGCACTGAGCTCCACACCAGGCCTTGGCTTGCACTCATCAGCCCACAGACATCTCTTCCCCCACCCCAAACACCTCCCTCTGCCGCCCCTATGCCTGTGGCAGCCTCAGCCCTGCAAGCATCTGCAGCCAGCCTGGGAGGGGCTGGTGGAGCACCCAGAGGGAGGGAGCGAGCAGGATCTTTCTCCAAATATGCCAGCACTGGGTGAGGGGAACCGCTGCTTATCCCTTGGCTTCTGCTGGGCTCATAGTCCATAGCTGGACATAATGGGTATTGGGAGCACACTCAGAGTTGGCTGCACCTGGCTCTTGCATCTGGCTTCTCACCCAGACACCACACCCGGGCACCCTAGGGAAGGGAGGGAGGTTTGTTCTTCCTATTTTACAGAAAGGGAAACTGGCAGGGGGCAGCTGTATGATGGAGCAGGGAAGACAACACAGATCCTGAGATTCCCGGTGCATGTAATGAACTTCCAAGCTGGCCCCGCTGCCTCCAGCTAGGGAGTGAGTGTGTATGAATGGGAGCAAGAGCAAGCCGGCAAGTCTGTACACCCCCCAGCATTTCTACACACCCCAACACACACACACCCATAGCCCCCAATGCATCCCCACACACACCATTTACACCCCCCTGCATACATGCCATACGTGCACACACCGAGACATACCATTTGCAGACACATACCATTTACATATACACCATTTGCACACCCCAACACCCCCCCATTTGCACACACCCCAACATCCTCCATGCATACACCCCATTTACATACCCCCCCACACCATTTGCAGGCATAGCTCATTTACGCACACACCCAACACATGCACACCATTTGCACACATCTATGAACAAACACACATTTGCAGGCACAGCTTATTTACATCCCCCAACACAGTTTGCACACATCCAACACACATTTGAACACACCTGCACCCATCCCCAGCACACACACCCATGTGCACGCACACAAATGGCACGCCCCAACACACACAATTTGCACTTCCCAACACGTGCACACATCCACATCTGCACACACACACACACATTTGACTTTGCACACACCAACACACACCCCATCGCGCACCTCCCACACCCCATCCTGCACACACCCAATTTGTGCGCCCCCCTCAACACACCATTTGCACATACCCCCACCCCAAGGCGCGCACACATGCACTTTGCACACTCCCAACACGCACGCACAATTTGCACACCCACACCCCCACCCCCGGCCACACACACACACACACA